TCCGCCTCACAAAGGAGTACAGGGATCCACAAATCCAGGCCAGATCCCAACAAATGGCATCACGGGCCGACCTGAAGAATACCGGAACCCTAAGCTCGGAATGGGTGCGCCAAGTGAGCAAGGAAATGCTCCATCAGTCGCCGATTTCGTCTTTGAGACAGGAATGTCCTGGCTTTGTGGTGCCAAGTGTCCAGGAATATGGCCATCCAGATCATCTGTACCAGTCTTGGAAGGCTAAGGAAACATACTGAATTATTATAGCCATCCCTCTTTCCCGTTCCAGTACGACCCTCAAAGTTGCCGTCGTGAGCGGGAGTGGTGTGCTCAGAACACGTCCTGCCGCTCGCGAAAATTTTTGGAAAGTATGAATTCTCCTAATTCCCTCCATATGATCTCCCCCCTCTTATTACTCCTGCTACTTACCACCTTCTAAATTTTCCCAGCTTACCTCTTATTCCAGTTTTTTCCGGAAGTTTTCTAGCTTTTCCCCAAAATTTTGCTCGCCGTCGAGGTCGAGCGGCAGGGGGGAGGAGGTGGTCAGCAACCAACTACAAGTTTCAGCCATCAGAAAATTCTTTCCAAACGCTGTGAATTTTTCTCGAAGACAAATAAGACCCTCTCTCAACAACGAGCAAATACGCCGCACCCTCCCCTTACAGCTTCCGTGAAACAAGAAAAATCAAATATCAAAAAAGTTTCTCAGACCAAATACGACCCCTCCCTCTCCGATGGGGATTCCCCAACGTACGACGTGCCCCTTCGTTCCCAACGTATGTAGGCCCTGCTTCGAGAGCAATTTCGCGCCAAGAGCACCACAGGGCAGAACGAACGAAACTGACCTCGAGATATTCACCGCGGCTCACGGTCAGTTCCTTGGCATTCTGAGCAACCCGGTCAAATGTGGCTACAACCAGCTTGCTGCCTCGTCCAATCGCATCCTGCACGAATGCCCTGAAAACGTAATGTTAGGGAAGTCCTTGCAAATAATTCTTCCACATCCCTTGTAGACTTTTGTACTTTATCTCTCAAGGGATGCAAGCCATGTATCTAATTCAGCCGCTTCTCTGCGGAGTTTTTTATATGAGATCCGCATAATCGACATTAATCTCGATGCTTTGGACTGGATCTTTTTTTACCTTTGTCGAGGTGATTGATCGCCCAAATCGGGAAGCAACACTGGACGGACGTTACCGCGTGCCGGCATTGGGGATGCTTGAGATGATGGCGGACTGAAATTAAAAGCGTTTCTTTTTTATCAGCAACTGTCATTATCTCTATGAATTTTTCCGCTCACTCATTTACTAGCCTTGTCGTCTAACTCCACCAGCCCTTTCTTTATCCTTCAAATTCTCTCCGAGAACTAAGGAAAGACTACACGGAAAGAACTCGAGGTGTTTTATCCTCTGGGTTTTCAAAGAATTTCGAGCACTTCACAAAAAAATACAGGGGACATGCACTAGCGGCAGAGGGTTATTGCGAGACTTCTGTTATGCCAACGAGGTCTTTTACTGGAGTCACTCATTGGTGGTCTTCGTCAGAGGTCTAGCTATGGCATATGTCGAAGGGAGAAGCTGGATACTACTATTGTGGGAACAGTGCCCTTGAAGCCATGATAGTAAGGGCCTTCCCCGACCTTCCAAGTGATCTAATCAGATTTGACGCTCGATCACAAGATGAGCCAATGTTTAGGTACTTTTCCTTGCATTGGCTGGAAAAGTACTTGCTACTACTACTAGTACTTGCATGCTTTTGGCTCTCGATGAAGCTGGCGCCCTCTCAGGAAGAGTTCTCTTCTTAATGTTAGGTCGAGAAAGAGGACGGTGCGTAGTTCAGCCCCTCACATTCGCTCAAAATCAATTGGACTTACGGTTCATAGATGGATTTGGAGCGACCGCTGTTCATAGACTCAGACTCGTGCTTCATCATTTTTCGTTCCGCTTCCAGGCGAGCCCTCTCAGCCCTGAAACATATTCTATGGGATATGATGAGACATCTTCTAATCAATCTTGTGAAGGATGAAGATTGCACCATCGCATGTATCGCGCCCAAGTACCCGAACCTTCATGAAGAGAGCGAGCGTGAAGACTTAGCCAAGCAAGGTTATGAACTGGGAAGGCAGAGATAGTGCTAAGCGAGATGCTCTTCAAATAAGAACAGCTGAAGAACTTTGTCCTTGATGCCCAGCAACACTGTATTGGTTGGCTCGACTTTGACCCCTCTTTCCTATCCTCCTCGGTGAAGAGTGAGGAAGTGTCAAGGGAATAGCTAACCCAACCTGGCGGGGTTTCAATGTGTCATTGGGAGCCGTCGAAAATGGTGAGAAATGTCATTTTGTGGGGGATCTTTCCGAAAAGGTCAGTCCGAGCCTCACTTCTCAAGGTGTTCTAGGACTACAGCGTCCAATGCAGACCTCTTCAGTGGCTGTTCCTCTTCATAACTTTTCCAGCTATTCGAAACATAGAAAACTGCCCGCTCTCTTCTCACACAAGAAACATGAAGGTTTGAGGTACTTCCACACTGATGGTATGGATGGGTTCACTTGGGCGAGTGACTTTTTCACAATGATGGACTCCTACGTTTGCCATGACATGTCAAAGAGTAAGAGCGCGCCAGTGAGGAAAGCACAATGGTCCGAGCGATCCCTACATACGGTCACCTGGGAATGTCCGCTCAAAATGAAATTGTAGACGTACTTGATCATTTTTTCTTCGTCGATTAGCCGTCGCTCTCTTTCTAGCATCTTCTGCCTCTCAAAGTCGAGTCGTTCTCGCTCTAGTGAGAGCCGATCGAGATCAAGCTGGAAACTGCTGTTAAAATTCCATACTATGGATTCTGTAGGCATAGGCCATTAAATACGAAGGAAACAAAGGGAAAGTTGAGAATAGGGAAACATGCGGGATGGCACACTCACATTGTCGACGCTCATGTTCCGCTGAGGACGCGATTTCGTTCTGCTATTCATGGGTGTCGATGGAGCCTATGATATTTTTCAGCATTCACTCAGGACTGTACAGAAACATGCATGAAGAGAGAATAGAAGAAGCCTAGTAGAGTCGGTGCAATCTTGGCTGTGAAAGTGAGACACTTCGAAGAAGCACTGATACCCTATTTTCCGGGGTATAAGGCACATGTATCCACTAGGTCGCAAAGACGCACGCGTTAACGTGTGCGAGAAGGTGCTGAGCACAG